ATCTGCCAAACAATGTGCGTGACGCTTACTGATCTTTCTCTTTATCCCCCCGTGTGGCTCTCCCGTTTTACTAAAGGTGCTTCCTTACTATATACACTTTCTTACGATATCCCCTTGCTTCCTATTTGCACTTTCGCTCTTTTGTTCTATCATTATATTTTCTCTATTCTCTCGTTATCTATTCGCGTTACGTTTCCCCTTCCCCTTTTGCTGCTTTATTGTCTTCCTCTCTACTCGTCTCTTAGTTCTTCGTGCTCGAACGAGTGCGTGGCTTTCCACAGGTGACGTCCCGCCTGTAGAAAACCCCCTCAATGTATGAAGGTGCATACGCGACTCGTTCGATTCTCACCCGAACTATTTTCTTCTTATCATTTCTCTCTGTTGTGTACTCTCAGTCGCCTATGCTCGTCTGTCTTGTTATTTGTCGTTTTTTCCGTGTCGAGGTGATCAGTCCTTTCCGTTTTACAATCGTGTCGTGTCTTTGTCGTCGTTGTCCTTCCTGTCCTCCTCGGCGGCTGTACACCTCTTTTTTGTCAGCACTATCTCTTCCGAGTATGTTTCGTTCGAACATCCCCTGTGCTGATCCGTGCTCTCTCTCTTCCTGGAAGCTCCTGAATCTCGCTGGATTTCAGCCTCCTGTGTAATATCCGGTGGGTCCGTTGTGTATCCAGTTGATTCGCTGGCCTGTGTCATCGCCTCTGCCATCGGTGGCGTCTCTCTCCCTCCGGCCGGGCCGTGTTGATCCGAGTTTCTGTTCTGCTCGGGATCGTAATCTGACGCTCGTATTTCTTCGTCGTCACTGTATTTCGGCCTTGTTTCTCTGTCTCTCGACGTTGTAAATTTATCAACGGCGTTTCATTGTCCGATGACCACTCTCCGTCGCCATCGCTTGGTTGATAGGTCTGTTTTGTCCGCCTATCAAATCCCCGTCTCGTGTCTCTTTCTTCTTCTCTTTCCATTCGTATTTTCTCGTTTTTTAATGTTCATTATTTCAAAATACATAATATTTTGACAACGGTCTCCATATCAACACGAAATACATCCAACTTGCACAGTAAAACACTAATAAAATTATACCCTACAGAGCAAAAATACTTCTCACTGCTGCTGCACTACAAATAATGTGCAAACAGTAGAATATTACTACAGATAGTCTCTGTCTAGAAATAACTGGCAACAGTTTTGATCACGAAGAAATCCGTAGGTGCACTTGTGCAAGTACGTTCACTGACTGTTCAGTTTTATAGTCTATCGGCACCTATTCAACAGGTGACCCCAGTACGTCACGTATCCTCAAGTGTATGAGTTGTGACAAATGCTACTTTTAGCACAAAAACAGCTAGCCACACTGCCGTCACTCAACATCGATGAGCTGGCTACACTGCCGTCACTCAACATTGATGAGGCAAAGTTGTTCATGATGAATTTGGGGATCCAGACGTTGATGAAGCTACTTAACCCCCACAGTAGCATATTAGTGAGGGATAGCGGGACAGAGGTATGAGAAAGTGAATGAAAGTACTGCACATATTCACCTTCATAAGTAAATACATTTCAACAAGAAACCCTAAAGAATCAGTACACACTAGTAGCCGTAACACAGTCAATAAAGTGAAGAAACCAGAGGTGCAGTAAAACTGATACACAGAAGTGATTCGATTGGGTTGGGCATTCTCTGGCTAGAAACCAAGATTCTACTGCTAATCAGCCTTATCAAACAGAAAACAACTGTACCATCAGCTCTTTATATAATAATAAGTTACAACCCATGTACGACACGCTGGCTACTTGGTTTAAAAATTCATCGATATCTGCTAGTTATCNTTTGCGCAACGTAGGGAGAACCCTGTCATCATATACAATACGTAACATAGCATACTTTTACGATAAAATTCTGAATTCATAAAATTGGATAACTACCAAGTATATATACACAAAAAGCATGACTAGCACACTTATTGTATCCCCGGCGACGAAGTCGGCGGGTATACTATGGTTTCATGTCTCCCCAGCCGCCGCCGCCGCAGACAATTTCCCTTCTGCTCTATAACTTGGCCCCTAATTGACCTAGTGCTACCAAACTTGGTATACTTACACATCTTGGGGAGAAGGTGAGCAGAGTACCAAAACCAGGTCACTGCGACCTTTATTTGACCTTTACCTTGACCTTGATCATATTTCCCTTCCACTCTATAACTCAGCCCCTAATTGACCGAGCGCTACCAAACTAGGTATACTTACACATCTTGGGGAGAAGGGGAGCAGCGTACCAAAACCAGGTCACTGCGACCTTTATTTGACTTTTACCTTGACCTTGATCATATTTTCCTTCCGCTCTCTAACTAGGTCCCTAATTGACCTAGCGCTACCAAACTTGGTATACTTACACATTTTGGGGAGAAGGTGAGCAGCGTACCAAAACCAGGTCACTGCGACCTTTATTTGACCTTTACTTTGACCTTGATTATATTTTCCTTCCGCTCTATAACTCGACCCCTAATTGACCTAGCGCTACCGAACTTGGTATACTTACACATCTTGGGGAGAAGGTGAGCAGCGTACCAAAACCAGGTCACTACTACCTTTATTTGACCTTTACCTTAACCTTGATCATATTTCCCTTCCGCTCTCTAACTCGGCCCCTAATTGACCTAGCGCTACTGTCACCGCGTGCTTCAAATTAAAGGCCACGCACGACGGCGTGATCGTATTTATGTTTTAATACCTTGTGAAGGAATAACCCAGCTCGAGGATATAGAACACAGCCATATGATAAACAACTCCACGCCAAGTTTTATATAATACACACATGAATCATATTTATTAAAGGGAGAGTTTACTCTAGGTTCTAGGGTTATTTTCAGCTAATTTAGGTTATAATTACGCTACATAAAAAGTTTCATGGTTCAATCACCATTAGAAATATTTTAAAAAAAATGTTTTAAAGACTAGCGACTACAGTTTGATATACAACGACGGATGGTGCACACTCAAGCGCACGATCTGCATAAGTTGCCGCACAACCACTTTCCAGCCAAGGGCTACAGACAGAGGCAGTGTGTTCTTATATTATTCGTTTAAAAGCAAAAGGATTGTAATATCTTATAACACATGATCAGTTTCAGTTATAATATGGATAGATTTTGCCCTAAAATTAATATCGTTTTTTAAATAGGATTTAGTCATAAATATAATTGCACTTTTGTCATAGCCCTCGTCTGTAACGTGCAAAATAAATTGTCAAATACACAGAGCTTTCTTCGTCAGCGGGTGGCAGCACTCCGCGGGTCATGGCCCCGTTCAAAATTTCATAGCATTGATGTGTAATTAATTATAACAATTAAATTAGGTATCTGGTAACAAATACGTGTGGGTATAGAAGATTTGTTATACAGTAAGTACAGTTGTATGCTGTAAAATCCTAGAGGCTACTGTCCCTTTAATCACTCCTCCAATCACCGCACGATACAATCTCAATACTACCTGACGCCGCCTTCCAGCGCCGTCTCTACCTTCACTAACGTTACCCCCCGCTTAATCTGTTGCGTCCCGACACCGTGCATATAACCGCAGTATGACTAACTCCTTAACTCCGCGACACATACATACTTATACCCCGTTAACTTATATTCCCTAACCGCATTACTGTAACGCCGCAATCAATCTTACTCGCAGTATCAATGATCTAAACTATCAACATACTCTAACTATCATACCAAAAAAAAACCATATTTACGTGAATGTCATCTGGTCGGAGGAGTTTGTTCAGAACGTCTCGCTTGGTCCCTGCACACTCTATATCCTTCTGTTAAACTTTCCCCTCTTTATGCTACCCAGCGTCCGCGCGTGACCTCTCGTTCTTCGGTCACTGGGCGTACTTGCTAGCCCTAGCCCCCCCCTTGCAAACCCTAACCCTAACCCTAACCCTAACCCTTTGTTTATTGTTATGCTACTTTTGTTCTATCCCCCACTAGGTTAGTGATGTCATCTTAACCTCCCTCGCTCGGCTAGTACTGACCGGTCGCCGGTGATGCAACGGTTTCGCGTTCTGCTCCGTACCATGTGCTAGGTGACACATGTCCCTCTCTCTGAAGTGACGTACCTCCGGGACGTCCATTCTCGTGTCCTCGCGAGCTTTTTGCCCTCAGCTCATTCCGGCGTTGCGAAGAATAGGCCCTTGCGTTGTGTTTATGATGTTGGTAGACTGGTAGTATAGTGTTTAACCTATTCCCCTCAAAGCTGTGCTTGATGCTGTATCCTTTTCCGTTGCCGCTTCTGTTCCGTCTATTGCTGTGGATCCGCCTCCTGTCGTAGTAACGCGAAGGTGAGTTCGTGGGGTGCCAATGTTGGGTATATCGGTGTTGTTGCTGTCGGTGTTGTCTCGTTCTGTTGTTGCTGTTGTTGTTGTTGCTGTTGTCGTGGTGGTTGTTCCTGTGCTGTGTTAAGTATAGGTAGTCTAGGTAGTATAGGTGTGTGAGACGCTGACTGTTCCTTCTCTTTATCCCCCCCCCGTGTGGCTCTACCTTTTTACTAAAGATGCTTTCTTACTGTATATACTTTTTTATTATATCCCTTTGCTTCCTATGTACACTTTCGCTCTCTCTGTTCTATCATTATATTTTCTACATTCTCTCGTTATCTATCCTCTAATCTCTCGTTATCTATTCGCGTTACGTTTCCCCCCTTCCCCTGTCTCTGCTTTATTGTCTTCCTCTCTACTCGTCTCTTAGTTCTTCGTGCTCGAACGTAAGGAGTTGCTAAACTACTTTGGTTTAGCCGTATCTTCCGGATCTTCCGGATCTATTCTCGTCTCTTAGTTCTTCGTGCTCGAACGAGTGCGTGGCTTCCCCCAGGCGACGTCCCACCTGTAGAAAACCCTCTCAATGTATGAGGGTACATACGCGACTCGTTCGATTCTCACCCGAACTATTTCCTTCTTAATATTTCTCTCTGTCGTGTACTCTCAGTCGCCTATGTTTGTCTGTCTTGTTATTTGTCGTTTTTTCCGTTTGTAATGGTCGGGATGATCAGTCCTTTCCGTTTTACAATCGTGTCGTGTCTTTGTCGTCGTTGTCCTCCCTGTCTTCCTCGGCGGCTGTACACCTCTTTTTTGTCAGCACTGTTTCTTCCGAGTATGTTTCGTCCGAACATCTGTGCTGATCTCTCTTCCTGGAAGCTCCTGAATCTCGCTGTATATCAGCCTCCTGTGTATCGCTATGTATGCCAGTTGATTCGCTAGCATGTGTAATCGCCTCTGTCTCTGGTGGCGTCCCTCTCACTCCTGCCGGGCCGTGTTGATCCGAGTTTCCTTTCTGCTCGGGATCGTAATGTGACGCTCGTGTTTCTTTGTCGTCAGTGTATTTCGGCCTTGCTCCTCTCTCTCGACGTTGTATATTTCCCAACGGCGTTTCATCGTCCGATGACCACTCTCCGTCGACATCGCTTGGTTGATAGGTCTGTTTTGCCCGCCTATCAAATCTCCGTCTCGTGTCTCTTTCTTCTTCTCTTTCCATTCGTATTTTCTCATCTTTTAATGTTTATCATTTCAAAATACATAATATTTTGACAACGGTCTGCATATCAACAAGAAATACACCCAACTTGCACAGTAACACACTAATAAAATTATACCATATAGAGCAAAAACACTTCTCACTGCTGCTGCACTACAAATAATGTGCAAACAGTCGAATATTACTACAGTCTAGATAGTCTGTCTAGAAATAACTGGCAACATTATTGATCACGAATAAATCCGTAGGTGCACTTGTGCGAGTACGTTCACTGACTTCAGTTTTCTAGCCTGTCGGCACCTATTCAACCGGTGACCCCAATATACGTCACGTATCCTCAAGTTCATGAGTTGTGACAAATGCTATTCTTAGCAAAAACAGCGGGCTACACAGCCGTCACTCAACATTGATGAGGCAAAGTTGTTCATAATGAATTTGGGGATCCAGACGTTGATGCAGCTATTTAACCCCCACAGTAGCATATTAGTGAGAGATAGAGGGACCGAGGTATGAGAAAGTGAATGAACGTACTGCACCTATTCACCTTCACAAGTAAATACATTTCAACAAGAACCCCTGAACAATCAGTACACACTACTAGCCGTAACACAGTCAATGAAGTGAAGAAACCAGAGGTGCCGTAAAACTGATACACCAAAGTGATTTGATTGGGTTGGGCATTCTCTGGCTGGAAATCAAGATTCTACTGCTAATCAGCTTTACCAAACCGAAAACAACTGTACCATCAGCTCTATATAAGTTACAAACCCTGTACAACACGCTGGCTACTTGGTTTAAAAATTTATCGAGATCTGCTAGTTATCACATTGATTTCCTCAGAATTGAAAACTAGTAGGTTCCCCAGCATAGAAATCATCCACATTTAAACATCAAAGGAAATGTCGCAGCCTGATAACAGGATAAGAAATTCGAGACACACATCCGTTGCCCCTCCTCTCTCCCACTCTCTCTCCTCTTTCTCTCTTTCTCTCACATACATATACTCGCTCTCTCTCTCGCTCTCTCTCTCTCTCTCTCTCTCGCTCTTTCTCTCTCTCGCTCTTTCTCTCTCTCTCGCTCTCTCTCTCTCTCTCGCACACACGCTCTCTCTCTCTCTCTCCCTCTCTCTCTCCCCCTCTTCTTTACTCGAC